GGGGGGGAGGGATGGTGGGGGAGGAGAGAGAGGGGGTTGGGGAGAGCCCTAACAATGAAGCGTTTGGATAATTGTGTTCAAAACAAAAACGCCCAAAATTTCTTTGTCCCAACATTGGGTAACTTTCCCTGTTCTCACACTCGATAGAGAGGCGCTACAAGGGATGTATTGTATCGGATTTTTTAACTCACAAAAATAGAAATTTTATATCGTACGGACGATGATAATTTAGGAGGAATGGCGATTTTTACATTTAGTTCGATCTTGTTTTTGGTCGTTATTTGAATCACAAGAAATTGGAAAATGTGGATAAGAGATATAGAAATATCAAAACGAGAATGTGCATGTACGCGCACAGTCAGAAACCAAGAGGTTGACCCAAGACACGGGTGTTGATATAAAATTTAAATAAAAGATGTACCCACGTGGGTGATGTCAAAATTGCTTGAGGAGACACACTATCAATGTGCACAAAGTCAGAAACCACGAGGTTTTTTAGCCCCAGTGGAAGGCGGGAAAACGTGGCCTTGAGGCTGGATGAGAGAGAAAGGGTGGTGATGGGGGAGGAGAGAGAGAGAGAGAGCCCTAACAATGAAGTGTTTGGATAATTTTGTTCAAAACAAAAACGTCAAAAGTTTCTTTGTCCCAACATTGGGTAACTTTCCCTGATTTCACACTCCATAGAGAGGCGCTACATGGGATGTATTATATCTGATTTTTTAACTCACAAACAGAAATTCTGAATGCACGGACGATGATAATTTAGGAGGAATAGCGATTATTACATTTAGTTTGATCTTCGTTTTTGGTCGTTATCTGCGTCACAAGAAATTGGAAAATGTGGATAAGAGCTTTAGAAATGCCAAAACGAGAATGTGCATGTACGCGCACAGTCAGAAACCAAGAGGTTGACCCAAAACACGGGTGTTGATATAAAATTTAATAGATGTACCCATGTGGGTGATGTCATAATCGTTTGAGGGGATACGAGTGTATACACGGAGCCGGCAACATCGATGATAAATTATGTTTTAGATTTCGAGACTGAGGTAACAATCTCTCATTAGAATAAAAAGTTGTGTAAACATCCTGCCCATCCATGTCTTTTCCGACAACTACAATTTCGTTTTAATATAATCATACAAATTGTTTATGTTTACAACACTCATGACATAAAAAGATGACATGCATTATAATGAATGATAATTTACAACAGTCAGACATAAATAAGAACCAATTGTTTCACTCACCCAACAACACAAGGTGCGAAGACGTTCAAGAAACAGATGATTGTAAATCAAATTTGTAAGATGTCGTCGATGTTGTCTGCTTGAGGTGTGCGGGTCAGAATGAACAGAGATGAATGCACTACAGTCTACCAGACCAGGTGGTCACTGGTCCGTCCACTTCGTTTTTAAACCCCGTCTCCCTTGACCAGTAGGCCTAAGTCACCCGCGTTCGCCCGGGGGTAAGAAGCCACGAGGTTGACCAAAACAAAGGTGTTGGTTTAAAATGTAAATGTACCCATGTGGGTGACGTCATAGTCTTCTTAACCTGAGGGGACACACTACTGTCGGCATGTACAAAGTTAGATACTGAGAGAGAGAGG